GCGGATCCGCTACAGAGGTACGTTCTAGCTTGTGTAAACTTACATAAGCCTAAGGTTAGAATGGCTGGCTACTGGAAATTGAACTCATCATTATTTGGTGAGCAAGATTTCCGGGACCAGCTGCTACTAATGATAAAAAAGGAACTGACGGGGACTGTGGATGGATATGCCTGGTGGAATAAATTAAAATTAGAACGCTTACTCCAGATTTTAGTCGTCGGCTCAATCTAGATAGATTAGCGGTGCAAACGGCTTGTGAACAGAAAGTTGAACGGGCGATCAAATCTCGTAATAGTGGGGACGTAGCTTTAGCTAGGGCAGAGTTGGCCTCCATGCTTATCAATAAAGATCAAGCTCTGGTAGTTAGGACTAGATTAAAAAGAATGTCCTCTGAGGCAACGAATATGGCCGCTGAATTGCATGCAGAGTAAACTTGGAATGCATTTCAGCGACATATCACATGCGACACATTGTCGGATAAGAGAAACGTGACTACAGACGCGGGCATATGTAAGGCTTTACATGATTACTTTCAGGAACTTTTCACCAGGGAGCCCGGTCTGAACCCTGTTTATTTAGCTGACTTTTCCTGCCTTGAGGCAGCTGAAGCGTCTAGCTGTGAGGGTACCATTACAGAGCAGGAAATCTGGGATGCGCTGAAGCAGGTTGGCATGGACAAATCTCTGGGATTAGATGGCCTTCCTTCCTTTCCTTCGCAATTTAAAGATGGATCCAGTCCTACGTGAAATTTCGCTACCTGGTTCTACCACCTCGGCCAGTTATTCTGCCTATGTTGATGACGTTTCGGTTCTTGTGTCGAGCAGAGCCGAGATTGACGAAGTCAGCAAAGAAATCAGTGGGTACGAAATGGTGACAGGGGCCAAGATCATACGCGATAAGTCTGTTAACTTGCAGTTGGGTGTGTGGAAGGTAGTTTCTTTTGCCGGACGTTTCCTCTGGACGGACGGGCCGATCAAGATACTTGACATCCGGTTCGGTCCTGATATCCAGTTGGAAATGAATTGATCAGAGGTACACGGGAAGGCCGAGATCGGAGGAATCTTTCCTTAAAGGGGAGGGCGGAAGTTTGTGTCTCACACATCTACCCGATTCTCCTTTACCGACTCTCTGTGCTTCCACTTCTGTATGCCAAACTAATGTCATTAGTAAGGCTCTTGTGGGGAGGCAAGGCCACTAGCGTATCTCGGGAGATCTGATGCCTTCACCCATCTAAAGGCGGTCTGGGTATGCGTAACTTTGAGATTTGTCAATATATGCTTCGCATCGCGTTCCTAGACCGAATGTGTGGCTATTCAAATGAGGAGGGCGCCTTCTGGAAGGAAGACACCCGTAAGAACTTCCCATCCCTGAGATGTGTGCACTCGTGAGAAGAGGAGACCCCGTGCCGAATGCACCTTTTATCGCGAATGTCGTCTTGCTCTGAAACACCTGTTTTGGGCTTCGGATGGTCTCTCCAACGTTGTCTCTATAGGGCATTATATCAGGTGTTAGTTAGAGGACCCGTTCGTGGTGAGCTGATAGACGAGCTCGGTTTTACGAAGCAGGAGGCTCGGTAGATATGGCCTTGGGCGCCCAGGCTGAAATGCCTCAATAACGATGAGGTATCACTCACCTGGCTGATGATTCGTAGGGCCATTTGGGTCGTCAAAAGACTTTGTTCAGCTATTTGGAGAAGTCTCCAAACTGCCGACGCTGTAATGGGGAGGTCGTGACCCTAGGTCACGCCTTCTTTCATTGCCAGGTCGTAGCGCCGTTGTGCAAGTTTGTTGAAGGCCTCATCGTTCGCATGCTGCAAGGAAAGTTCTTTGTCCTTAAGGTCAGTTCTGTTTTTTGTAATGTGGCTGAACATTATGTATTGTTTTGCTAGGGGTCATGAGAGTCGTGATTTGGACGACACTTCAGGAGGGATTCTATGGAGGCGAGAAGTTCACTTCTTCCCAACTGATCTTGTACTTTAAGCATTCGCTTAAAGTCAAGATTAGAACGGAAAAGCGGCGGCTCACTTCATCAGAATTTGACAAAAGGTGGGTGAATCTTGCGCGTTTGTGTCGAGTGAAAGGGGTTGACTTAGAGTAGCACTTTGATGCCGGTTAGGGCATCAGGATATTGTTCTCCATGTGTTGAATATAGGTGAACTCCACCCAGATTAATAGGAATGTTTTTGTTTCTTTAGTTTCTTCATTCCAGTCAACTTAGCTAGGGGATGTATTCTCATTGGCCCCTTTTATTTCTGTCTCCATTTTTTCTTTGGTTCCCCACCCCCTCGTTAGGTGGTCAGTGATATCAGCAGTATGGTAGATGCGGGGTGTTTTTCGTATTTGTTGTTGTGTTTGAATGAGTGTGTTTGTGTAAGTGCTTGAGATGTTTTATATTATTGCAGTCTCGCATGGATTTCGTCCAGTTAACTGATGTTTCTGTCACATTTAAAGATTGTGGGGGGTTCATTACTGACATTATTTTATTTAGTTTCTTGTAAATATATTTGTATTCATATTGTAAATACTCATTGGGGCTAGTTTTTTAAATTGTTGTTTTGTTCCCGCTCATCAAAGACAATGAATTCTACATATGGGGACTACTTAGGATTTTCATAGAGACATTTAGGTATTATGGTGGATGTAGTAAGAAAGATAAGTAAGAATGTGTTGTTTTGGTGTTAGGAATATCGTGGTATGTTTGGGTCAGTGTTTGTGGATAGCTAAGTTTAATGTTAAGACAGAAGAAGACCGTCCTTTTCCCCATTCTCCATTTTTAGCATTGTACCACTTTTTGCATTTGAAGCGGAAATAAATTTAAGCGCAGTACTAGAATGGCGTCATGATCTCATCTATTTACAGTTAAGCTGGTTAGATGGAACCGTAAGTTCTATGCTAATAGTTTCTTTTCTCACATTTCTCACTTGTGGAACTCTCTTCTTGATCGATGCTTTCAACCAACTTTAACCTTCAAAAGTTTAAATGTAATGTTAATTGCTATCTACTGTCCTCTTGATTACTATTTCCTTTTCCTGCTCATTATTAATGTTTCTCTTCCTAATTCTTTCACACCCTGTAACCCTTTGTTTCTTAGTGGCTTTACTGCCTTGCAATGAGTTATACCGATTAGATAAATAAATAAATGCAAAGATGGAAATTAATGACTTTATTTAATTTTACTTTACTTGGAATATCTTGGGAACTTTATTCAGAACTTGGTTTCAATCATTTCGATACATATTAAAATTAGCATTTGTTAATGCAAAACACTCTTCTCGTATCTAAGGTACCATCCACTCCAGGATGAATAAATAATTTGTTTGTATTTGTTGAGTTATGCAGTCGTCAGTTTTTCTTCACTCAAAAAGTTATAAACTGTTTTTTTGTTTTAAAAAAGAAAAAAATAAATGGTTAAGACGACGACGACACCTGAGAGCAGGAAGACGTTGATAATAACGTTCCAACATACTTATATACGAGTAGATCGATAACTACCAAGAACTTGACTCGAACAGTAACAGTAACAACTACCATTATTGTTCGCTTTGGAGATCCAGAAATTTGAAAAATGTGATGGTAACAAGTGTAGCCATGAACACTAGATGTTAAAACTCGTGTGTAGGACTTTAAACTCATTATTGTGCCATGTTCCGTTCGAGTTCAGCTTGAATACATTATCGAGAAAATAATTTAGTGAACAGCTATTGACCAATAATGAGCACAGTACAATGTCCTTTTATAATTAATCTTTGTAAAAAAAATAAAATAAAAAGATATATAATTTTTTAACATATTACTAATTAATTGATAAAAGCGTATACCAGGCGAAAGTAAATAGATTTAGGGATGATCTTAAAACATTTTCTCGGCAAATGAATCAAATTATTTAAATCAAAAAAAAAATTCAGTGTGGGGTTTGTGCAAAAACAGCTTTGACCCCTTTGATATGTATTTGATGCAATACTTGATTGAATGAATTGATGAGCAGATTTCAACATTATGACAGTTGAATTGTCGTAACAAATATGAATTGTAAGGCACTACCCACTGATTGGTGATTTCTTACTCAGCTTGACGTCCATATCATCTCACTTTGATCTTGCCAATGTGACTTCCATCTTCTGGCATTCTCCTCCTATATTTTGGATAGGAGTAATTCCCTTGTTCAAATTATAATTTCATTTAGGTCATAGGGAAATAATTAACTGCGGGAGGAGGGGGTTGTGCAACCCCGGGGATCCCCTTCGATCAAAATGAAATATACTTATTCGAGTACCCTAGGAGCAATTCTCTTGTTCAAATCTAAATCAAAGAGGAAAAAATTTAAGTGGGGGTTGTGCCAGCCGGGGACCTTCTTTGATCAAAATGAAATATACTTATCGAAGTACCCAGGATAATGTAGTTTCAGAATATATATGGTTATGGAGGGTCTATCTCCAAAACCGCAGGAGGAGTTCGATAACAAACAGACAGAGGCTAAACTTTATATATATATATATATATATATATATATATATATATATATATATAATTTATTAAAAAGTGATATAATGAAATATGCATACACCTGAGTTCCACCTCACTGGAATATGATTGGCTGGTATCCGTCATAAATACAGACGGACGTGTAGGTACGACAGAGTTTAAGTCGATGACGACGCCCAATGGACTACGGCATTGGCTATCCTATTGGTCTACACCTATTATCTGCGACTACGACGAGTATCAGTCGATTACTGCTACCGTGTACTACTTGGTTACAGTAGCCAAAACCACTTAGCTACTTCGATCAAATATATCCCTTTCCGGGACATATCAAAAACATATAATGGTGAACGTAATACCGTCTGTTAAGAATATTACGAACTCATTCTTTTTTTAATTTACAGTGTGTTGTTTTGTAATTAAAAAGTCTCATGTCTTCTCTTTTTTCTTACAGTATCCAACTCTTCATATGCGAATATTTCGCACACGTTTCAATTCACCCTGAAGCCATTACCATACATGTATTCATTAAAGAAGGCAGTCCTGTGGCTATACGTCCGACCTGTACATTCTTCGCAACAAGAAATGTTCACCATGCTCGAGGTATGAACAAAAATCCAATTTTATTTTTGATGTCTCAAATTTTAGTTACCTCCGAATATGAAACCTTTTTCCTTAATTACACTAATTAGCAAGAAAATGCATTACATAAAGCCGTTTGTGTTTCTTAGTACATTTTAAAATAATTATTTAGCTAAAGTTTCTTTAGTATTAACAGAGTTATGAAGTATTGAAGCATTTCAGTTTAACCATCTCTTTCTCTCTCTTGCATATCAAAAGCAAATAAAAATCGCCACTGTTAGACAATTCAACGATCTAAACAATTAAAGAATATTTTGTTACATAAATTAAAATTTGGTTGATTTGCCATTAATAGATATTAAAGACTATGTACTGAATTGATCACATCTGCAGTTATCTCTAGTAAGATATTCAACATTTTATCTCTTATATCCAACGTATCATCTCTTGTGAAATATCCAGCTTACCATCTTTTGCGAGATAAATAACCTTTCTTTAGCTAACCCTTTTTTGCAGGTACATAATAACACCACGATGACAAATTCTGTCTATTCTTTCATCTCTTGTGAGATATCTAATCTGCCTACATTCATGAAGTAAATCTTTAGTAGAATGTTCTCTGAAATCTTTCTTTTTCTCTATATACACACACACACACAGACACACACACACACATATATATATATATATATATATAGTGTATGTGTGTGTGTATGTGTGTGTGTGAGGGTGAAAATAATATTTCCTATTTTATTCTCTTTGGCCCACGACGTCAGAGACGGATGTTGATGGCCAGGCAGTAGAGGCTGAATTCCCCCTACTCCCAATAACTAATAATTTTTGCTCTGTTTGCAAAAAGCAATTTTGTGGCAGTCATACAAAATGACTTCTGACATTAAAGTGTGTACAAAGCAAAGGTGTGTCATTGAATTACTCTATTTAGAAAAATTGCACCATTGACATTCATCGACATTTGCTGAACGTTTACAGAGATCAAATTGTAGATTTGAGCACCGTTAGGTTCTCTATTTAATAGTATTGTTGTTACTATCTGTTGTAGTTTACCTGGAAATAAATAGAAGCCATTACTTTTGGAACGTTAAGAGCGCTGATCGTTTGAAACTTAGAAGCTTTGAACGACCAGTGCTTTTATCACCATAACTTAAAAGTTGTCATGATTGATAGCAGACTGCAGGTAATTTAAACATAATTCTTGCTCTATACTCGTTCACTGATCCAAAATTAAGTTTACCTATACTTTCTCTGCTGGTCGTTGCCTTGCTTTAATTTCGCTATGTGCTGAAGACACCGTACTGCAACATTTTACTTTTTGCGAAGCAAACTCTTCCACATTTGCCACTTTACAACGGATTTTTTTCAATGAACAAAATCGATCCGAATGAAGTGCAGTGGTTTCCTATCCTTCATTAGTAAATAAGACGATCATTCGGTTAGCAAATGAAAGGGAAATATCCTATTCCAATATAATTTAACGCTAATACTTTCTACTTTTGTACCCAAATCATATCCTTTTTAAAGCTGATAATTCCTGTACTACGCATTTTGAAGTGATTGCGCAGTTATTTGTCTTGAGTTCTTATTTGAAATTAGTAATTATCAATGAAATTGTTTTTATTAAATACGTATCTGTCACTGTATTTATATAAATAGGCACATCAATAAATTCGCAGCCTAATGATGGGAAAGGAATGTATCTTGCATAAGAAAAATGTATTTTTCAACATAATCTTCTTCCTTGTCAATAGACTTAATCCAATGCCACTTCATTAATCACATAAATCGAATATTATACTAATCAGTATTCAATACCTACTTAAGGATTTACATGACTCATTATGTGAATTCTCTACAGATGAATTGGATCAAAACTTTCTCATTGTTTTTTCAAAATACTATTTGTTACTTTGAAAACAGATACGAATTCAGAAAACAAACGACATTCAGGTGTGTATTAATGGAAAGCCACAGCAGTTGTGTATTCAGGGTATGATTTCATGTGCATATTTTATCCTTGTGTGTGTGTGTGTGTGTGTGTGTGTGTGTGAATTTTGTATCAGTTGAAGTCTTTACTGCTGGATTTGAGATTAATTTCTAAATTAATTCAAAATGCGCAAATTAGCGTCACAAGAAACAGAATTAATAGTAAATGTCACATCACAAGTCCCGTAAACTATACCAGAGTCAATAAGGTCACCCCAAATGTACTCCAGTATATGTACATCTGACGGAGTCCACTCCTCTTCAAGGCTGGTTTGGAATTCAGAGTTCTCCTTCTAGGTTAGTTTCCACCCAAGGCAAAAAAAAGCTTAGTCTGTCTTCCAATAACTTATAGCTGTAGAAAAAGAGCTTCCTGCCTTTTTCAAGGGCATTAGTGCAAACGAAACGAAACAACTTGAATTTGATCTCGACTCTTTAATTTCATTTTCGGCACCAATAACCGTTACATTATCCACGCATCCAAATCGGTAGCACTATTTCAAATTCTCATTAGCAATGCCATTTTTGCATTAATATCTACATGAATAGCTAGTTCCATCAACTCCTATTACCGATAATTTACCTTAGGACATTCACTCTCATTTTAGCGCTACATAATCTCTCTTCATTTATACCCAATGCTCGCATAATTTTCAATTATCCGACGCATTACAAGTTCTCATGTTTAAGAGCAAATGTTCTTATGCTTTCTTGGAATGTTGAATTTCTTTCATATTTGGAAATGAAAAGACACATATAAAGAGCTACGTATTAGAGAACAGCAGCACCCCTACTTGAATCCAGCTGAATGACGTAGTGGAGCTGTGACAGTGCAAACGTGGGAAACGGGTAGGATTTAACACTATTTTACTTCGTTATGAATGTTGCGGCCAGAAAAATGGGTTACTCTATCTCCATGGTTTTCCTTGGGCAGGCGTGTACCGAGTACGTTTTCAATTTCAGATATACATCAGCTGCACGTGAAAACTGCAGGCGTCTACAGGTGAGACAACCCATCAGGTTAATACACCGTATAGTATTACATGAAGATTTGCTGTACCTACAAGGTTATCATTACTGAAAACAGGAAAATTACTAACTTATTGCTTGGTCAAACGAGTTAAGTTTTATGTGTGAGGAAGTCACATAAGGCTCTCTCTCTCTCTCTCTATATATATATATATATATATATATATATATATATATATAAAAACAGAAGTTGACACCACAGAACTGAAAAAAATTATTAATAATTAATGATACAGGAAATACAAGCGAAGAGATCGGCGAAAGCAGGTTGTAGGGTCAGTTTACCCGGATTAAAATGAAAAATTAAAATGCCAGTGTCGTACCCACAAATGCAACGCAAAAAAATGATTTTTTACATAGGTAAAAAGGAAAATAAGATTGAAATAATATATTTATGTACACATTGACATTTGTTTTCATATGGTAAACATTGTATTTGTCCTAATCATAAAAAACTAAAGTTCAAAAGTTTAATATAAAGTGTGAGTGTGTCTGAAGCACATTTTAACGGAATGTGTGAATAGCTGCTGACTCTGTGTGTGTGTGTGTGTGTGTGTGTGTGTGTGTGTGTGTGTGTGTGTGTGTGTGTGTGTGTGTGTGTGTGAAGCACATTAGTAGAAACGCTGTGTGTATGAGTGCTAATACATGAAATCTGATTACGGTGGTCCCAAAAGGAAATGGACATACAGATGAATGATAAGACTTACTTTTTTCCATGGCTATGAATATTTCTTTGAGTTGTGTGAATATTCCTTTGAATGGCGTGTAGTCGTTGCTGGCTGAGGTATTGTCATAGGAACGAGAGAATTCTGGTGGTGTGTTTACAGATTTAACCGCTTGTCATTAGCACGTCCAGTTGCTGGTTGGGTCTCTGCTGTGTGTATTTTTATTGGCCCAGAAATCGGTGTATATGTAGTTATCCTGGTCACGTGGTTGACTCCAAATGAAAGCTTTTCGGTTTACGCCGGATAGTACCCAACGATCAGTTTATTTGGAATTCAAACGTACGAACGTAGTCGGAAGCATGGCACGTGACTGTACTGTCCAATCAAATTCCAGAACCCACTTATTTAATTTTGGATCCTATCTTTATTTACTGATTTGTACAAAAGTTTTTGTTTGAATGATTCTGACCTTATTTATGTTTGGGCGTTTCATTCTTATTTGTGCTTCACCTGTTAGTTGTAAAATATAGGATTTTATATCCTAATTACTCAAATATCGACGACATCTTTTGTCGCGTATAAGATATTCAACCGACTTGAAACTTCATCTTTTTACAATTAATGCGAACGAAGGCGATTTGTCAATCCCTTAACCACAATTCGATTTGAATTTTCTATTATTATTACTTTAAAAAATATATATTTCTAAAAAATATTTATTGTAATCAAACACTTGCTATAAACCACGTTGTGTCGATCGATTCAAGATACTATCTTAAAAAGTGCATTATAAAAATATATCGATTTACATGTGGCATATTCCAGATATAATCTTTGTGTAACGTCATAAATTATAGTTTGGGCTGGGGTTTTTTTTTGTTTTTTGTTTTTTATTATTCTGTGTGTACATATTCGATATCGCAAAAATGGATGAGTTTTCCGAAATTAAAATAAAGGGAAAAACAACGCCTACATTTTTTTTTTTTTAAATCTCAAAAATCAAGGAATTATCCGATTTAAATGAAATTTTCAGCAATGAATAAATTGTATACTGAATAGGTTATTTTATTAGAAATTTGTGGAAATATTTTTGTGTAGTTATCCTGCCATTGAACACTTTTAGAATTGGGGGTGGTGACGAATATTTTTTATAGTTTTTATAAAGAAAATCTTCTAAAGTAAATTTCAGTAAATTAAATTTTTTAGCAAGATCAACTGTGAACATAATGAAAACTTGTCCTCAAACCATACAAAAAAAATTCAATAATCCTCAAAAAATAATTTTTATGGTGAGTTGGTGCATAATTTAATAAAAGACATTCTTTCTAAGATTTGAGAAGGAAAAAATCTACAATGAATATTCATTTTAAAAAAATTTATTTGTAATTTTCCAGTACGATTTTGAAATTCTTCCAGTTGCTGATGACAAAAGAGATCTGTTTTTATTAAATAAAGATGTGTTTTTAGAATCAAACATTTAAAGTTTAATGCCATTTTCGCATCAAAAATATTTTTAAATGAATTTTATTATTTTTTCTTTTTGCAAATGTTTTGTTAAATTATTTTTCTACGGAAAATCAAATAGGAAATAACTCAGCAATCCTGAATTACCTCCCTTTTGCTTATATAAGATTAATTATTTTAATCATTTCATTCCAAGCAAAGTACGAGAAACCATTGGAATGCAAGGAGTTACTGAGCGTTAAAGAAATAGGGAGGACAATAAAAGAACAGATTTCAAGAAGACAGAAGATGACAATTGGCGTTGCTTTTAAATTTTTAAGGTCGTACTTGACAGGAAAGCAAGAAACCGGAAGAACTGTGGGAGAAGAAACTATTGAAATACATAAAAGTTTTCAAGCAAAATTTTTCAAACTTCAAAAACTTAATATCAACCGTTTGGGTATTTTTTTTTTTTTTTTAAATAGAAACGAATGACCGCTTAGGAAAATGAGAAATGTTGATCTGAAAATGTTCAGAGTGTTTGTGACACCAACCCTCCCATCCTATATGACCGTTGTCGTTTTACTATTACATGGTTGGGGATTTTCATTATTATTTATTTTTACATGATTTTTCTTAGGAATGATCCCTTTCTGTTTCATCTTTTATCGGTTTGCAGGTTAACTCTTTGGTGACAAGTAAACTGCTAAGATCGCGTAAGGTGAAGCTTGAACACGGAGATCAAGGCAATGGAAAATGGTATAAATTCGAAATGACGAAAGTCGTCAAAAAGAGTCTCAACGCAATGGAGAACACCATTGAGCTACAAGCTTTAGCTGTTGACCAGAATGGAATCAATCAGTTGGTTCTTCCTCCAACATTCAACGAGGACAGAGGATATGTAAGTAAATCGATCTACATATGATACATTTTACATAATAAATTCTAGATCATATAGAATAGGCTGGAATTTGGAACACGTATTTTTTGTCCTAAGGTATGCGATTAGTATATTGTGATTGCAATGAATAATTAAAGAAAATAAACAAAAATCTTATTGTAATGTGTACTTGTCCGATAAATGGTTATCCGAGGACACAATGAACTCCGCTCGATTGGCTTAGGAGACCCACGTAGTCAAGAGGACTATAATGGTTTTATTTGGGTCTGAGGTATTTTATGACTACCGAGTATCTCGCCAATAAAATCGAGATATGAGAGGTTCAAAGCAACCACCCTCTGTTCATAAGTAGGGAAAAGAAATAAAATGCGTAAATAAATAAATGAATAAAGAAATAAATCAAAATATTTGGGATCAAGTAACACTCGACCAGAATATAGGGAATTCCGGTCATGAGCTTATATCGTCAAGCCGCATACTAATGTCGGACTCTTTGCTTTCGGGCGGAGAGGAAGTCAGATGAGGTTATACCTACGGTCAGAGTCTCACCTGAGGAAAAGTAGACGGCAACCCGACCCCGTGTATGCGGGGTCTACGAGGAACTTTTGACCAAGAGTACGTGCTCAGAAAGCTCCACGTTAAAAACTGGCCTTGTACCACATCCCACCTTGTGGGGAGATCTCGGGTAAATACCGAGCCAGACGCAAGTTGTTTGCAAAGATGTAAAGTCGCATCCAGAGGCTGTCACAGTGACGGCCAGTTACAAGTCGTCTGTAGAGAAACAGTAAGAGATAGCTGGCAGCAAGATGCGAGTTTTCACTGAACGGACTGAAGATCTGGTTAGTTAGTCGGTCGCAAGAGAAGTGAACATTGAAGTCAACACTCAGAGGCGACAGGCTGTTTCATGCTAGACGCAATCGTCAGGCCCTGAATGTTGGATTTTTCCTCGACTATTTATATATATGGGTCAGTGGTGCATTGTGAGTAATTTATTCTGGCGGTTATTTTTTGGGGAGTAGTTTGTTTATTTGTTTGGGTTAATTTATTTTACTTGTTTTTCATTTTCATTTTGTATTATTTATTCTTTTCGGTTTTTGATGTTTTATTAACGTAGTAAAAAAATTGGTGGGGAGACTTGCTTAGGTCGCTTATTTAATAGTTTGTTTCATTCTGGGAAGATAATTAAAGCTATTTATTTGTCCAATATTTGGATTGCTTGCCATAGTCTATTCTGTTATTTTGGTGGGGGACAGTTTTTAATTTATTTATCTACTTATTTGGATTGATTATTTTTATTTATTTTTGCTTATTTATGCTTATTTTTATTAGTTCTAACGGTTATTTTAGCGGGGGCGATGTGTTACTTTGTTCATTTATTTATTTGGATTAATTTTAATTAATGAAGAAGCATGAATAAAGAAGGAAGGGCTTTTTTACACTACAATGGGAAGCTTTGACGGTGCAGAGACCTGCGAAATCATAGGTATATATTTACTATATGAACTTAGCGAAATAATAGATATAAATGATACAGGACTCTACAGGGACGACGGTCTCATAATCTTAAGAAATTACCACAAACAAAAGACAGACAAAACTAGAAAAGCAATAATAAGGATTTTTAAAAATAACGGATTTGATATGGTTATAAAAACTAATATAAACGAAGTAGATTTTCTAGGTGTTACATTCAACCTAAGAAAAGGCACATATAAACCATACAGAAAACCCAATGATAAACCACTGTACATACACACATCCTGCAATCACCCGCCTTCGATAACCAAACAAATACCAAAATTGATTAACTGCAGGCTTTCCGACAATTCTTGCAATAAAACCATATTTAGCGAAGCTAAGAAAGACTACGCAACAACCCTAAAAGATAGTGGATTCCCGACAACACTTACATACTCACCACAGAGCACAAGAAAGTCTAACAGGAAGAGAAATATCATATGGTTCAACCCACCCGTAAAATCACACGTAAAAACAAACGTAGGTAAAATATTCTTCAAACTCTTAAGCAAACACTTCCTGGAATCAAGCACTCCACGTCAAATATTCAATAAAAACACTGCAGTTGTATCGAGAACATAGCACAAATAATAAAAAAGCACAACAGGAAAACTATCAACAAATCACCCAAACAAATTAAACACACGTGTAATTGTTGAATAAAGAATGAATGTCCCTTAAACGGTAATTGCTTACAAAACAACGTAATATACCAAGCCACGGTAAAATCACAAGATAGTGAATAAAAAGTATACATAGGAGTAACTGAAGGACCCTGGAAACAAAGAAACTATGCACACAAAACATCTTTCACAAATAGTAAATACTCGAACAGCACAATGCTTTCAAAGTATGTCTGGGGAAAATAAAAACAAAACACAAATCACACCAAAAATATCATGGAAAATAAGGAAAACATCACCAGCTTTAGCTCGGATGAAAAAATAACTATTATTACCTTCCCGGGCATGAATGACTAAATAAACGATCTGAGCTCATCTCAAAATGCAGACATGAAAACAAATTTTTACTACGTTACTTAAAAATCGAAAATTGAAATGAATAAATACAAATAAACAAAATAATATAAAAACAATAAAATAAATTATCCCATACAAATTAAAAAAACCACCCCACCATATATAAATAATAATAATAAACAAATTAACAAACCGATCCTGCCAAAATAAAATTAGAATAGACCAATCCAAAAATTGGACGTAACTATAACTGCTATATAACGATAAAAAATATTACTACGTCATTCAAAAATCGAAAAACAAGAGTAAATAAAAAATAAGTAAATAAATAATAAACAAATAAAAATTAATCCAAATAAATAAATGAATGAACAAAGTAACAAATCGCCCCGCTAAAATAACCGTTAGAACTAATAAAAATAAGCATAAATAAGCAAAAACAAATAAAAATAATCAATCCAAATAAATAGATAAATAAATTAAAAACTGTCCCCCACCAAAATAACAGAATAAGCTACGGCAAGCAATCTAAACATTGGACGGATAAATAGCTTTAACTATACTCCCAGACAAAAACAAACTATTAAATAATCGACCTAAGCAAATTTTTTTTTACTACGTTAATAAAACATCAAAATGAAAATGAAAAACAAGTAAAATAAATTAACACAAACAAATAAATAAATAAACAAACAAACCACTCCCCCAAAAATAACCGCCAGAATAAATTACTCACAATGCGCCACTGACCCATATTTAAAAATAGTCGAGGAAAAATCCAACATTCGCGGCATGACGATTGCGTCTAGCATGAAGCAGCCTGTCGCCTCTGAGTGTTGACTTCAATGTCAGATTCCCTCAATTGAAGAATTGAGGGGATCTGAAATTTCTCATTCGTTAGACCCACACTTTCCAATTTTTATCTCCAGATTTTTCTGATAGTAAAGTAATATTAAAATGTTAATGTGACTTTTGGTTTGTTTTATATCAATAATAATAATAATAATAATAATAATAATATCCGACTGCAAATCATAGTCCACAGTTAGCGCAGTTTGTGTAAGAAAACTCATTTTAAGACAAGCATTTTAAACAGGATCCGTCATGGAAGAAGAAATGATTTATTCAGAAGTAAGAATAATTCCAAACCTTCAAAAATTTTAAGTGAGGGTGAATAATGCTCTAGTACATTACTGCAGTGAGTGGGAACTTCGACGTGGTAGAATAGTTTGTCTGGCTTGATCAATTACGACTGGCTTGTGACACATCTAAGCTACGTTTAGAAAATTACCATGAGTGTAATGAAATTATTTTACGTCATTCACACAATCTCTGATTAAACACTTAATTTGAAATATTTAAAAATGTTTAATTACTAAATTCTAAAAATATACAGAGAGGGGGACCTGAGAGCTACTCTTATTCCAGCCTCTCACTATATATATATATATATATATATATATATATATATATATATATATATATATATATATATATACGAAAAATTAAGTAAGAACATCATAGCAAAAGAAGGGAAAATTTTTCGAAATTGTTCTTTTCTATGACGACCAAAAATTTGTAAATGAAAGAAATATGAAAGGGTCTGAAAAGTTCTCTGTCCGAACAACTTCTCGAAATCTAAACAAATAACCAAATATCAGAATTTTTATTATTTTTTTGAATTGCTTCTTAGTCAGACCGAGAAATTTTCAGCACCCACTCCGATATAAATTTATTTTTCTCTATCTTCTAAATTTTAAATCATTTTTGTTGTTCTGTAGTGGACCGTGGCTGTGATGTTGATAGAAGTAGAAGAACACATGTGGGTTCAGATTTTCCTGCTAGCCGGTCCAACTACATGAAAAATTTGGACCTTAATTAAGTGCAAAGAAGGCAAAGAAAAAACAAACACAGGACCGATAAAACATATGTATACAAATATATATATTAATAACAAGTTACATGGAACAGTTACAAAAGAACAAGGTGTGCGTGTGAATATTATATATGTGTGTGTATTGTGCTTAGCGTGTTTCCAGCATTTGGGAAACGCTATCTCTGTGAGCGCTTACATTTGCGAGGTGGTAAGGCTGAAAGCCTCAGAAAAAAGAGAGATTTACCTCCAGGTGTCGGCCCAAAGGCCTGAGGGAAAAAAGAGGAAGAGGCGAAGGGTCAACGACTATTTATAGCCAGGGAAGAGAGACCCCTGGTGAAAGGGTTAACGAACTGAAGGAGGAGTTAACTCCGACAATACCTCTCACCAGATTAAAAGTTGTAAGGAAATGAAGACTTTTAATATGTTAGAAAAAGGTTCATGAAAGTTTTGAATATTGTCCTTGTGAGCTGAAAAGAACATGTGTCAGAAGTGTGGTTGATATGTGATTCGACGAAATGTGCTTGCGTTGTCAGGGTGCAGTGTAGTGGTCTGCGTTGCTATCAAAATTTGTCTTTTTTCCAATGCTCCACGTTGAATTGGCTATGTCGATCCGTTCACCTGTTTGC